CTATTTCCTGAACTAATTTTTTTGTAATTCATATTGTAAATTTATTATAATCAATTTGATCAGCTATATGGTAAATTTTAAATCAACAAATTATGGTTATTTAATAAATTTCATTGTAATCGATCGACATCACCAATATGTTTTTTTGTGAATAGAAAGTAATAAATTCAACTTAAATTATAATTCACCGAGTGATTGGTCAACATGAATCTCAGTTTTATTCAAGCCATACAAAATTGTTCGGTCTTTCTTTCTGTCTACAATATCTACCATATATTTCCTTTATACATTAGGTGTTTTATCTTAGAAACTTTCTCTCAGTTTTAAATTACTTCATACAAAACAGATCGTCTTCCACACAATCTTGATTGACTAAGTTACTGAAGAGTAACAGAGATGAAATTCTGAACCAAACATGATTGTTGGCGTATCTAAATGAGTAAAACTCACAATTTATTTCAGTGGTTCTACTTTATCACCTCACTCATTATTCAACGAATCTGTTCTAAATAAAAAATGAAAACTGAGTAACTAATGAGTTAGATAAAATCTATGAAAAAAAATTGCACGAAGTGTTATGATTTTCTAATATCTCTAAGCCTTCCGAGCACCACGTGAAGAAAGTTTTCACGCTTGTTCGATGTGAAAAATCTGGTTATCACGATAATGAATATCACATTCTCTTGACCGCTTTTAATGAGAAAAAAAACACTGAATGAAGTTTGCAAATCATTAGATTGTTCAATGTAAAAAGTATTCACACTCGTAATTCATTTTATGAGAAATTTATTCAGCGGTTAGGTGATTACTAGCAGTGATAATTACATGTTTGATTTCAAAAATACAATAGTGAATCGAAGCAATTTTTACTTGTGTAGCACATTTATCTTTATCGGAAATGAAAGATTTTTTTTGCAAACTAGTTTATTTTGCCCACTGTAATTATTTAATTGATAGCATATATATGTTTGATTCAGTTCCATTTCGAATAAACGTTTTTTGTTTTTAATTTCTGAGGATTTGCTTCTTTGCTGAAATATAACATAGAGTTGGATAAAAACGATTGGGAAAAAACCACGCCTATGAGTTAGAACATTAATTTATTCTCATCTTAGCAGGAAACTTAGTACTGCATATCAATTTACTTACGAATAATTAAATCTAGAACACTCGTCTCTTCTGCGAAGTGTTGATATTCATATCTTAGCTTAATCAGTTCATGAGACCGCTGAACCAACCTTCGAGAAATATTACATCAATGATTAGCGAGTAAATGAAAGTTATTGCAGTAGAGATTTGTGGAAACAGTCTTATGATTTACAAAAATGGACCGACAACATCCAAACAACTTTAAGATTCTTGATTCGATCCTTGGAAAAAATCATGAACCTATCACTGTTGAAGAATGTCACACTTCTGATTTTCAACAACTTTCTACATAAGCCAAGTTCATTATGTGAACTGACGCAACTGGACAATTTTTCTCTTTATAACAAACAGAACTAACGTTTTTCTGAGTAAACATATCAACAAGAAACCTAGTAGTGTTTTCTTTTCCAGTGAATATCTTTGTTCGTATTATTGTTAAAATGCTGTATAAATAAAGACCAAAAAAATATTATAGTTAAACTTTACTAATATCCATACGAAAATAGCAATAGTAGAATAAGTGCAACCATAGAAATATAGCAAAATAAACTCAACATAAGTTATGATAATTATCGTCTTTATTCTTTTCTCTGTATTATGATTACTATTACTAGTATTATTATTATTATGAACATTATTTTTTTTAATGAACTGGAAAGAAAAAGGTCAATTTATGCTCTACAAAACAGATTGTGTGAGCATTTATGCTTATTTCTAAGAAAATGAATCCTCCATTTTTCATCCCATGGAAAAAAAATAAAAAGAGAAGCGAGAAGAGAGTGAATAATTTGGGTTTATTTTCTGTTTTTTATGTATTTGTTTATTTTGATGATAGTTGTAATGATTAGTTTTATACTTTTCTTACATAGTCAACTAATAGAAAAATTGGTTTTTCACCAGTTAATGAAATCATGAATCGATTAATGTTAGATCACCAGTAGACATTTCAAACTACTGGACAGCCATTTCGTCCATTTACTAACTTTGAGTGATAATCTTTATTGTTCTAATAAGAATCCGTGTCCCGTGGATCACAATATGATGTTTGATGTAAGACAGTTAACTATCTACACTGCCAATTTGTCGAAGCTTGATGTACACGCTGATCTCAAGGAATAGAGATACCGGGGGCCTTATAGTCATGAACACAGATCGCTGAAAAGTCTTACACTAAGACAAAATCCCTGTCAAGTTCTATCTGATATGCACTAGTTGTCTAAGGTCGACTTGTAACGTAAAATTTGAACTTTGAATAATCTCAACAATTTCCTGATATATTTTACTTAGTTTTAACTAGTCATTTAAGTCGCAAGAATACTTTCTGGAAAACTGTGCCATTGAAATCCTTATTACATGATTTGAGGCGTTAACGATAAACCTAGATGTTAATTTCCTTCTTTCTACCTAAGTGATTAGTGTATATTGTATCATAACTAAAGAGTTGTCGCACTGTTATTGTGTTTCCTTTCTCAGTAAACATTGACTGTTAAATCGTCAAGTGACTTTTAACTAATAAATATTTTATGAATGATGGTAACTAGACCGACTTCTAAAGAAGTTAGATAATCAGATGCGATAAACAGAAAGAATTCTACCGGAATTTCCGGTAAGCTGACTGAAAGATGGAATCCATTAGTTTAGTCGTTGAATTGGAAAGCTTGATATACCAAAGACGGATTAAAGAGTAAAAATATTCATAAGTAAACATTTACTAAATAAAATACATGAAAAAATAGAAATTTCGGATGAATTACTGTCAGGTGTTTCTTTGAGTGTTTTTAACTTTATAGACGAAATTTCGTACTCATGTGTTACGCTTTTCTCAATCGGAAAAAATGAATTTACATCTTTCATGTTGCACTCTTTAGCCAAGGTAACTTGTACTTTTCATTGTTTTTTAAAGAATTTGAAGTGCGATAAAGACAAAACATCTTGCAATATAAATCATGCATTTAAGCATACAATTCTTAATTGTTTGTAAACACAGCGAAGTTGAATTTTCATTTTAGCTCTCTCTTAAATAAGAGACAATAAGCAGAATTTTCTTCAAAAAGAAATAACCAACATCTCAGCTAATTCACATTTTAAATATGTATGTATCTAGATGTACATGAACACAAATAAATGTTGTAGATAACTTTAAAACATAACTTTTCTTGTTTTAATTATCTAAACGATTGAGTAAACAGATACATTTTTTATGCATAGAAAACTTCAATGAAATACTTCCTATAGACCAACATACGAACTTGAACAGTATTTCTAATAATCACTGATAGATAACGATTATTTGATTTGATTGCCCAAGTAGTTTAACATCTTGTCTTTAGATGCTCTGTTCGTTTTCTTGAATGCACAAAGTAGGTAAATTAGTTTACTTTGTAGTGCCGATTACACAATGCAAATTGTGAAAATTCTTTTCAAAATATGCCTATAACTATTGTTTTGCCAGCTTTGCAAACAGATTGCCTAATGAATTAAACAAAATTGGCCATCCCCTATTACTCGCTTATCTACACTTTTGTCTCTTGTTTTTTTTCCCTCTTTAATTATTCTCACAGACAAAACTGCGTAAATAGGACTTCGTAACTGTGATGATTATTTTACTTCTTATAGAATGTCTATAAAAATAACAATAGCTGTTTACGTATACGTTGGGATAACGAATCACACAGCCAGTAGAATTGATTTGAAAGTCATTTCAACTAATGCTTACGTTTCGAGGCTTTTTTCACGCCATCATGAGTTGTTTAAATGTGTTCACTAGAAATAATAACACTATATATATATATATATATATATATATATATATATATATATACGTTTTGCTTTGATTTACGCAATTAAATAGAGTTTTTAGTTTATCCGCTCACGTTGAATGACTGATAACGTTGCACTGTTAAACTACAAAACTGAATTAGCTGAAAAAAATATTTCGTTTTGTGTAATCACACCCTATACTTTTTTAGTAAAAGTTAAGTGATCTCATGCTAGTTTTGTTTTGTTTCGAGGCTTATCACTTTCAAGATAATCGGATCTGTCTATAGTTATCAATGCAGTTTCAAGAGTTATTTTAAGCACCATATCATAATTTCTCAACTATTTTTGGTGACGTTGAATTTTTAGTCAACTATGATTCACTAAAATAAAGAAGCTTCAGTCAATCGATAGTCGAATTCGGTTTCATCGTTCAGTCGAGTGTATAATAACAAGAGAGAGACAATAACATTACATTTATCGTTCATTAATCTAATGAGAACATGCGAAACATGCAACAGAAAAGAGATGTAACAATTTCATTAGTTCAACATGAAATATTTTTTTGTTATTTATTGAAGCATAAAATTTGATACGTGATTTATTTTAACGAATATACATAAAGGCTGATAGAAATGATTTACTGAAAATCTAGACAGTGACGAATAGATTTTGTATATGGTCGGATACAAAAAACGAAGTCAGGAATTATACTGATTGACTTATATAAATTCTATGTGGATTTTTAAATGAAATTTTGAGCTCATTGCTTTTAGTATCACTATTATTATTTTTATTGTGAATCTTAGTTTCAGTAGTGAATATAATTTTGATAATTGGTGATAATTGCTTTTCAGTAATTCTCGTTTACATCAGTCCAAAACCATATCACTGCGAAACTAAACGTTTTAAATCTAGTATCGTGGGTTCTTCTACAAATTTATCATTAATAACTGTACATCAAACTGGTAAATTCAAGAGATCTATTAATCATGATTCTATCAATCTATCATGAGTAATTTATTTTCTTCTGTGCCTAATACCAATCGATAATGTCAATATACTATTTTCATTTGTCTAATTTGCTGAATTAGCTCCACCAAGAGGATTTCCGAAAGTTCATCAAGATCCTTCAGCGACTATTAGTCAAGTTGGCGATTCAACGCATTTACAGTGTGAAGTATCAGCTGAACCTCCAGCAACAGTCTTTTGGATAAAAGATCAATTTGAATTGATTGATACAAATCTACCAAGATTTCGAACTGTTGGTAAGTCTAGAACTTTTTCTGAAATCTGTTTATAATAACCTGATGCCTTTTTTCTGTTCTGAGATCTTGCTTAAAAAATTGATAAGGATTTAGATTTCAAGTAGATATGTTCGGCCATGTTACTTTCTCCAAGCTGGATGCTCAAGTTTGAATTTTCCATCCTTGTTCTAAACAACACTACCAGCACTTCACAGAATAGAAATACTTAAACGGTCTGCTTTTTTTCTAAATATTTAAATTTCATCAGAAATGAATTTTTGTCGGGGACGTTAGATCCCCAGAACTCGCTTGATAAATGCCTTATTTTGGATTTCATGTTTCAGAGCATGGGCTGATCAGTTGACCTTGAGGTCTCATTCCTTACCAGCAAAATCCTTGACTGTGATTGACTGCTGTGTATTCTAGTGTGCTCTTTTTGTGACTGTCCCAAGGACGTTTCTATGATGTATAAATAAACGAGATTTGTGTATTTGATCGCATTGTGCTTGCTGGGTATTTGTAGAATATACTTTCTACGCTACATCAAGACTTTTCATTAGTCAGTAGATCAAAGTAGCCTACCTGGAGTCTGGTTCATTGTCTCCTTCGTGTTTATCGACTAGTGTGGACCCGTAATAATTTCAAGCATACTTGGTGACGAACCTAACAATTTTGTATGATTTATAATCTATGATTGGGTAACTTTGAAAAGTCATAGAGACAATTAAAAATTGAACTTCACTTGCTTTGCCTTAACGCGTTATATTATTAATCAGAGTATAGAAAATAATTCAGAAAATGCTTATCAGTTTCTGAAGATTAAAATAAATGATTATTTCCAGGAGTTATTGAGTTCTGTTGATTCGAAGTAAGATTTCAATACTGATAGATGGCAAATGAAAAACTTAAAAACTGCAGAGTATTTATTTGTTGTTTCGCTCTAGTAAATTACTGAATTCAGCTAGTTGGAGGTACTTGGCAAGTCAATCCGATCTGTCAAGATTTCATGCTAGCTGAAATCCGTCAATAAACACAATTAGTAATCTTCAGAGAAAACCAACATTCTCTATGAGATTAACAGCCTATCAACAACATTCACCCACCTAGCACATAGTGTCAAGTCTTTTAGACTAGTAGCCACAGCGCGATTTGACACAGAATTCAATCAGAGCTGGAGGCCCAGACAAACATGAAATTGAGCTGTGCTAGGTAATCACTTGGCTGTAAGCTTGCCACCGCCGAAAAGTCCAATACTTTGATAATTAGGTAAAAAGATAAATTGAGCATGCTAAACTACGATCGAATTTCTAATTAAATATTCATCAGATCACTAATGACCGGTTTTTGAAAAAGAAGAATTTCCAATGTTAAGAGCAGATCCTGATATTAGTAATGTAAATCACAATTAAACTGAACCGTACCAACTATGCCATTATATGCTGGTCTCGAGAGATCATAAACTGACTAAATTTCGAAAAAACCCGAAATTTATAATAACACGATAACAATTTATGATAAGGCAAGATTGATTTTCTTCGTTTCTCAAACAGACATTTTGAATGTTTCTTCAACTGTTAAATATCATCTATACGTCTCAATAATTTTGTTCGGTACATTTCCACTCATTGACTGAGTGACATATTCACTTAGTTATTATTACACTTGAATAGCTTTACGTGGTTTTTTTATCATTTCAGTTGAATATAAATTATCCTCACTACTCTTCTACTTCAACAATTCATTTTAGAGTTAAACATTTTTATAACTAATAACTTTAACTTATCACATTATGTAATGTCACGTTCGAATTCACCGAACTCAACTAGCCAAACATGTTAACAATAGTTGTAAGAGGCCAAGCAATTAGTTATAAATTATTTTGGTAACAATGAATTTACTAAGCTGTAACTTGAATTGTTTGATTGCATGTATAACACAGAAAATACAATGGGACGGCTGAACTCACGGAGTGACTTCGTTTTTGAATTAATGATTCTATGAGGTATTTTTGTTAGTTTGTAAATAAATAAAACTTTCATTAAATTTTACTATTAAAAATACAATAATTCTGAAATCTATCATTGTTTTTGGATGACTAAAACGAATTTACTAGCGAACTTATAATCGAAATAATCCACAGCCAACAGACAGTAGTGAAATACTGTAATGAGTAGACTAGATTATATTTTTTGTTTTAAATTTCTCCAAATTTTCTGTTTCATACAAACTCAGCTAAATAAAATGATTACATAAGCATATCAATAAATGAAGACAGTAACATTGTAATTGAAACAATGAAAACATAGAATGTATAAATAAGTATATTTTCAATGTTCATAGAAGAAGTAATTCCTTGTAAATGTTTATTAGAATATAAAACAATCAATAAAGAATAAACAGCGTTCTGTTGTAAAACTTTTGAATACATAGAACTGTTAAGACACAATATAGTTGGAATAAGCTGATATATATTTAGTTACACAGAAAAGTATTGTATTATTTAACATGTCAGTAATTGTTAGCTCATTTTATCTTAAACTTTGACAACAATAGCTAATTCCGCTATTCGAATTTACCGTAAAATTGTTTTGTTCTCAAATCTATCATATGCTTTATGATTGAATTCCGATGAAATGCAGTTTTCAACGTACTATATTACATATCTGGTCACTTCAAGCCAAAACAGCACGTGAATAACAAATGAATAATTATTTTATAAAGTTAGCCTAGTTACTTTACACATAAAAACTATTGTTCCATGATTCTGCTTGACCGAGTGTGGCTTGATTTGAAAACCTTAGTTCAACAGACCATAAATGCAACAAAGAGTCATTGTGCACATTAATTAAGTGTTTATTTCAAGAAATGTAGTGTCATTTTCATTACTGTTATGCATTTGTTTTCTTTTTACAGGATCTGGATCCTTAGTAATAGAAACCTTACTTGAAACTGACTCCGGAGCATATGAATGTATGGCACGGAATGAAATAGGTACAGTATTAAGCAATTCAGGCCATTTACACGTACGACGTAAGTACACTTTATAAACAAGGTTTATCATTTCATATTTTCCCTTACAAATGTTAAGAAATAATTTGAATCATGGCTTTTAAATATAAGTATGAAATCGCATTTAAATATATCAAATCATAAATTTCTAGTTGCTTTGTGATGTCACATTACAACATAACATATTTACTAATCAATGAATTTATGTGTGGTTTTGGATATTGCTTGTCTGCCCAAACCGTTACACCAATATTTGTATACACTTAATATGGTGATACCAATCTCACCACAATAACATTAGTTTTATAGAGGAGAGAGTCTTGCTGATCCAGGGAAAAACCCCAACATATTATAATCAAGTTTCTGTCTGACACTATGATTTTCTTTTTGAACTGTTCTAAAGCACTGAGATGATATTTTCAAAAAAATTTACAACTAACAAGTGCGAAGTAATTGCTAAAAATTACAACTATTTTCAATTTCCTGAAAATACGTTTTATCCAGTGAACAAAATTACAATTTCTATATGTTTGCATGAAAGGCTGGTTGCCTTTGTTGAGTTACTTTTTTAAAATCAAGAATCGATCAATGTGAGACCATCATTAGAAACCTGGAAGCACTGATTAGCCGTTTCTTCCTAGTATGAGACTCATCAGCAGAGCGCATTCACGGCTCCTACTTCTCACAGGATTCGAACCCAGGACCTTCAGTTCTGCTAGCGAACGCTTAACATCTGGACCAGTGGACTGGTATCAAGCAGTGATATGTCTAACTTCAATCAACCCACGGTCTTGCGCAACCTCATCGACTGTCTTTTTAGAGCACTGCTTCACACAGGAAAAGGCTTAAACTCTACTGGTTACGAGAAACTTCTGACGGATCTGGTCACTAGTGAGCACATGAAATGATTTTGGAGATTTTACAGTCCCATGCCATGAAGAAACGGCCTTCCAGTGCTTCCAGGTTTCTAATGATGGTGTAATATTTATGGATTCTTGGTCGCGAAAGAGGTACTCAACAATCTCCACAACCCTTTCATGTAAATTTCTGTATGTGTTTAAGAATGCACATGATCTCCTAGCCTACTTTTATCAAGTTTTTTTTGTCATATCTGATTACGAATATATGCAGCATACCTATTTATATCAATGTCAGGTAATGGATTAGTTAACAACATTTGGATTTTTCGGGCGAAAAGATAAACTTAGATAAATATCCATTTCCACTTTCTTTTCTATACAGATAATCTTACAATTGCATATCATTTTCTTCAACAAAGAGGCAAGTTTTCTAGCATAATTAGCTGGGTTTGATATTTGTTCGCATTGAAACACATTGCATCTTATCTAGTGAAGTATAAGTACACTAACCTTATGATGCCTGTATATCAATTTCACTTAGATGACAAAAGTGATTTCTTAGTGAATAGACGTTCTTTTTGTCATTTATTTCAAATTTTTATAAAAATCTAAAAACAACTTGAATTTATGTCAACATTATTAGAAGTTATAGATTATTATTACTGAATTCATTTACTTAATTCCTGGACTTTTTGGAAAGTGAATTAATCTGAATCACTATTGACTCTGGTCTTCGAAACTCGAATCCATTTTAAACTAAGTTATCAATTTGACCATCTTTAATAATAACCGAAAATTCAAATGTGCCAATTTTTCTACAGGTTTAATTGATTTTGTGCTTAGTTTAAAAGGTTTGAAAAGAAATCCCACTCACAATATATTCATTCCTTATGCGAATGATATGTGTTCAGCTGAATTGCAAAAAGCAATTAGAAATTTCCAAGTTAGGCATAATTAGTTTAAAAAGTAGAATGTAAATTATCGCTTACAGTGTTTATTGAACATTGAAAAAAGACATCGTTACTCAAAACTATAGGCTTCATTTTAATTTTTGTAGTTTAAATTAATGCATTGTGTTTATAAGCTGTTCCAAAAAAAATTTACATGACAATTTTTTTCTGCACTATCCTTAGTAGTTACAATGTTATTTTGCATGTGAATTATTCAACACAAAAATGAACATCACTGTTTGCACTTATTTGTATTTCTTAGTTGAATGATAATGTCAAGTTAAATAGTATGAATTCTCAATGAAACAAGCATGTATTGTTTTGCTTGAATGCTTTGATTATTCAAAATTTGTTTTTTTTCTATAATGCACAATGTTAAACAGATTAGGGATTAATAAATGTTATTTTTGAAAAACACAAAAAAATGGCAACCTTGATTAAAATGTTATTTGAATTATTGATTGACTATTTGTAGGCATTCAATTCCCACCGACAATTAATGAAATGCCTGAAAAAATTGAAGTATCTTCTGGCAAAGGAACAAATTTGACTTGTCGAGCTGGAGGATTTCCCATACCTATGGTTTGGTGGTCAACATTAGGCACACCAGCTGGACCAAGACATTCTGGGCCGATTATGCTAGCTGAACGAGCTTTAACAGAGCCGCAACCGCATGAAGCAACATTACGTTTAACAGATATCACTGAATCGTCCGGTTACAACTGTATTGCAAAAAATGGTCTTGGTCTAGTAAGAAGAAATGTTAGCGTGATTGTAAGACGTAAGTTGATATATACTTTATTAGAAGCCACTCATCCTTTTGGCATTGTAAATTGACTAAGAAGTCAATCTTATAACATATATTTTATGTAGTCAGTCACCCATCTGCACAGAATATGAAAGCATGAAAATCAGTTCTCTTAATGTCGAGAAACAGTTCATCTACAAAAATCACCACATAACTTAATTAAGCTTTACAATCAAACAAATAAACATTTAAAAGTTATTTAAAACTTTGAAACTTTAATCAGCATAATTTAAATGAACGGAACGGGGATTCAATAGTTCAAGTTCCGACGAATTAGAGTCCAGTAAACATCTACTACTGGAACAAGCTTAAAAATGTGGACGTTTTATTTTTCTTTCGCATTGGATGAACCGACCTTAAACAGTTATCCGACATACCTTGATTTTTGCTACTTTTCGATCACTATTCAACATATTAGCTGTATTACGGGGTTGTGAAGATTGTTAAGTTACACATTTTTGAAACCATGAATCGATCAATGTTTGACCACTATTAGAAACCTGAAGAGTCCCATACCAGGACGAAACGGCCGTCCAGTGCTTCCATGTTTCTAATGGTGGTCCAACATTGATCGATTCATGGTTTCAAAAATATTAGCTGTACACATATTCTTCGGTTCCGATGAAACTAGTAATCTTTAACTGAAGGACGACAGTGTGTTATCATTTCATATTCTGCTGATTGGTTTTCTGGAACTTCTAACTAGACCTAAATTTTCCGTGTCTGTGATCATGCTTAATTAGAATGCAAACGTATGCTAGTGAGAGTGCAATAAAAATTATTATTAGTCCATGGATTGTTGTAACAACAAGTTATATAATTAGACTACAGAGATAGACGTTTCATGTTTTGAAGGTGTGAAAAGTATTTGCCTAATGGTAAAACTAGCGTGAATATCAAATTTAAACAATGGGGGAGCACTACTTATACTCATCTAATATTATCAAATATACATTTTTCACAACTCAATCAAGAACTAATGATCACTTAACTCTGACGTCTAAAACTTTGTATTGATATGTACGTATATGATTTGTGCATATATGATGTCCAACAACACATAGTGTTTCGAAACACCACTTCACAAGTAAGAACCATTATCGAATTCTTAGAGATTTACCATTATAAAGAACTGTCTTACCTGACACTAAATGATAAATTTTTGTTGACAAATAGAAATACCACAACCATCAATAAAAAACTGAATTCATCAAATTCAGCTTGAAGTTCATCTAGATAAGAAATAATTCAGACAATTTAATCTACCTAATTGTTTACTACTCACTGAATTATTAAATACTATCTAAAAAAACCTTTATTGAAATCATACTTAAACATGTATTTTAACAACAACTTGAAACGTCACTTTGGCAACTATGCCAAACTTAACTCTTATTGTTTCAGATTTCGCAGTGATGCCTATATACACCAACTTAACTCTGTTATCCAGAGGAAATAGTAATACGTTACAACCGCTTATTTTCAATGACATTATTACTATCAAGAAGTTAATCGTTAAAAAAATGCAGATCTAAATTAAAACTTTACAAATAAAGCACAAACTACAACAAACATTGCACAGATGAGCATGGATTCAGATGTTGGACAGCTGAATATAGTTTATAAGATATTTCGTTCATATTTATTTATTTATGACCTGTAATTTTGAGGGAACTGATGTTTTGCGTGAGATTTCCAATTCACATGTTTTTTTATCTACAACTGCCTTTTTGTGTATACTTATGACTTTAAACATTATTTTGTTGTATTTCCGTCCGTTTAGAACTTCCTGCTCCACCGTCTAGTTTAGATGCACGACCTATCGGCAGTACTTATGCTGTATTACGGTGGTCACCAAGTATTTCATCTGGTGTTGATTCATACACTATCAGTTTGCAAACTGATGATGGTGATTTAGGTGAACTTGGCAGACGTCAGATAACAAATATCGATCCGTCTGAAATAAAATCAGAACATACATTTCATGCATTAGAAACAAAATATTCTAAAGAAAATCTTATGATTACATATAATCTCACTGATCTTAGTCCGTTCACTTTATATTCAGCTCAAGTTCATGCAGTTAGTCAAGTGGCTGGTATGTCATTACCAAGTGATGCAGTAAAATTTCGAACAGCAGAACTTGGTAAGTTTAAGTTGATTTTTTGTGATTTTAAGCGAAAAATCTTAAGTGAAATTCATTTGATTTTAGCTTACGTTTTAGAAATTTTAACAGTTCTCACAGTTTTTATTCAAACACGCAACTAATATCACATAGCCAAACGTTTTCAATTTGAATTATGCATAAACATGATAGGATTTATCAAGCTGAGCTTACTGGAACGTTAGTTTCTTTGCAAAAACCTCAACAATTCATATCATATAGCTCATTAAACCTAATTTCCATAGTTAATGGTGACCGAAATTACTGAATGGCGAATAATGAGATTATTTCGACACAATGATCATCATCGTGTACATTATGTAATATTGGTTGCTTGTTGTCAAGTTTTAGATATAGCGCCATGAGTAGCTCAAACGTATCTTTGTTTATTCTCTCAAATAACAATGAATAAATGAAAGCAAGATGATAGCCATGCTTTATATTCAAAACCTGTTTTTCACTAAATATAAACTAAAACATCAATAAAAAACTAATTTTCCTCAGTAATTTTTATATTACAAATATTTTAATCCGAAAGCTAACAGCTATGGAAGTTGAAATGAAAAATTACCGGTTTCTTTGAATCCATCAAAAAGTCAATCAAAGAAAAAGGTGGATGAAAAGAAAATGAAAATGATAAATAGTCTCAAACTTATCAAGGACTGAATGAGCGAGCAAGATGTCATTAAATAATTTTCTGTTTAATAACCATTCATCATCAGACCTCCAAGAGAAACGGTCTAGTTGTTTCAACTATTATTTCTGTCAACAACGGTTTATCAAAACATATGTATTAGAAAATATCTACTTTTGTGGTCAAGTGTTTAAGAATTTCATATTGGTTTCAAAGGTCCTGTTACACTAGGGTTTAACCATCTAAGCCTTTAAAAAAACTAACATATTTTGTTAATAATCAATTAAACGAGTGACGAATTTCAGCGGTTTTAGGCAGCTTACCAGTTATATCTCATTCATATATTGCTTGAAATTGCTGATAGGGCTTTTTTCGACCTAACTGGTACCGAACATAAAGAAGTGATACATTTTTTAATTAGAAAAATTGCTGGTTATATTATGAATGCGTCAACCTAATTCACAACCGTAATTAATCATTTAAGTTCGAACTACATGTGCAGGGATGATTAGTGTGTGTCTTTTGTGCATAAATAGAGTATAGATCCATGGGTTTTCCGAAGCTATTTTCATAATTTTTGTCAAGTACTCAAGTGAAAATGGAAATTATCAGTGACAAAAGCATTCAAAATAAAAATTACTATGCTTATATTCTGTAAAATTCGGTTACATCTCTCACTCCTTATATTTCATCAAGTCCTTGTATTTCGTCAAGTTCTCATTAACTTCTACATCATCATTAACTATGACGCTTCTCCTTTGCACGTATACAGTTCCTCTTCATGGAGTCTGTAAAATGACATCGTCCAACAAATTGTTACGATGCACTTGTTGTGTTTAGTGAAACGATTATTTTGATATGGCTACAGTTGTAGTAAATTTCACGTGCTATTTTGTTGGACAGACTGGCGACCTATTCCATGAATTTGCATACTCACCAATAAACGATAACCAAGGCTCTAACGCGTTTGATCGTCCAGCCCTTTCCAACCTGGTAGCCAATCACAAGACACAGAGAGAAGGTAGATTAGAGCCCTACTGTGGTTACTTTGATTCATGATTCAAAACAAAGACAATAATATACAGAAAATGCCTAAACATATAACACTAAACAAAAAACCATATCATAAAAAAATTTGTTGAACACTACATAACTATTTATCAATTATAAGGAGATAGTGAAATGTATTACGGCAGTCAGTAAGTCCACTGTAAGCTAACAGTAAGGACAATGTAGAAATGCAACGATACTGTTATTTACTAGTTATACAATAGATACATAAATATTTATCATAGAAATAGCACAGAAAGCTTCAAATTTCCTGATATTTGTTGTTATGTTAATACTAATCTGTAGTTTAACTTAAAAAACCGAAATCAAATTCACTGAACTTATGCTTAGGGAACTTTTATATGTGAAATGATCCTTTTACTATGGTGAAGTAAATTTGTAGCCCAGATGGATGATTAAGATAAAGTTTTGTTCTTTGAGTTTGATGATTTGGTTGTGCAACTTTCATTGTTCTACTGGACATCATTAGTGCAAACTTTCGACAGAAATAAAGGATTCGAATTTCTCCCTGTACAACTCATAGTTTGTTCCATTGATTGGTTGTGACTGATCTTTAACCTGTTGTTGTTTGCCTCATAATTTCGATTGTATCCCCCATTCGATCCTATTTATGATCCCATGCTTATCTACGATTTTTCCGATTGGTTGATAACTGGGTCACTTTCGCTAATTGTTGATTGCTGATTGACCTTGATGTCAAGCTTCTAAAAATTATGTAGCCTTTTTCGTATTCCTTCCATTCAGTATTTCAATATTTTTCCAATCAAATTTATGTACAGTATTATTCGGATGTACTAAAGTAAGGTAAACTGTGTCAAGGTATTCGACCACTCATTGATTTTCAAATTAGTGAAGCTGAAGGGGACATCCCCCATGTCCGACGTAGTGTTTTTCTTGAACAATTTGTTTTGTAAATTATGTTAGGTTTCATCGAACAGTTAAAACACCGCTGTACTCTAGTTTGAGGATAGTTTTTCTTATATCTTAAAAATATACAAAAATTTGTGATGATAAGAAGCTCATTGTATCAGTGAGGGAACTACCGTTCAACAAATCATTCTTCCTCTACTTAACGAAGTCGACTACTCAATTGGTACATCCTTATCGCTATTTACTTTATACTTAATAATCTTTAATAAACCAAAAACCGAATGCGTTATTAATAGAATTACCGAAAATTAATTAAAAACTTCAAGGACTAAATAATGCTACGTGATAGAATAAAGATAATAAGAATGGAAATAATCTAAAAGAGATATGAAAGATAATAGTCTACATCAGAAAAATAAAGAGGAGATGAATATGAGTCAAAAACAATCTAAGAATAGAGTTCCGAATCAATCACGAAATATGAAGTTAGACAGGTTGTTTTTTCAGATAATATAAAGTAGGTGTGAAATATTGAAACTACATAAGATTATTCATCATCTAATTGTTTCAACTGATTATATGAATGAATAATTCCAAGTAAAAATTTCTAGTGAAGCTAGATGACCAGTACTGATTTGATGATCAACGATAGAATTATGAATCGATTTGAATTCATTTTTGAACAGAGTTTTGGACGAGCATCTGGAAATAACTATAGATAAAATTGTATAGCTTTATTAGATGACATGGTTGAAAATAACAATATTCAATAGCAAGAGTCGTGGATGCGCACTGTTGATGAGTCCCACGGCAGGACGAAACGGCCGTCCAGTTCTTCCAGGTTTCTAATGGTGGTCTAACAATAATCGATTGATGATTTCAAACGTGTAGAAACACAAATCTCCAAAGCGCTAATTGACAATAGCTTATTATTTGATCTTTACGTATTAGAAATTTTTTTAAAAAGTGACTAAAATAGTGTAAATCAAATTTATTAGCGGTAGTGTTACCTTTTGCAGTTGCTTCATGACTTGATCTCATATTATTTTGCGAATTTCTAGTATATCACAAGATTGGATTAGTTATTTTTAAAGAAAGATTCTCAGTAATATTTTTTACAATAAAAAAAACTTGTGATTCTTACCACTAAACCATCGGACCTCCTAGTGAACAACATACAACATTCAGACTATTGAATTATTAGCTTAAAGTGTGATTCGTGTGACATTCACCTATTTGAAGATTTATAAACTAGGACGAATGGTCTTCTTTTCAACTTCCTATTGTCATTTAGTTGATGTCCGTTTTGTAATTAGAATTATTTTGAAAGTTGTGCTAGATTAGTTTGGTAAATACAGATAAATTGTTTTGGAGATTATTGGTTTTAGCCAAGAAATCTATTTTATTAATTTAGCAAGTCAATTTTTTTCCAAGAGACAATATTCGTCAAACACTAATAACGTCTGTCTGAAATAATACAATCATAATGTAAACACTTCATGATGTTCTATGATTACGATTATTATTATTATTATGATATAAACGAACAAGTCTTCACTAAATGAACAGAGTAAATTGTTAACCAAAAAAATCAATGTCCATCTAATTAAGCAATAAATCAGACAGTAATCTGTCCTACTTTGTCCACCTTACATAAACACATTGACTCTCTACCTGATAAATCAGTTTACCAATCAATTATATTATTATTATTAGCTATAAAACTATTTTCAGTGGCCAGCATACATTTTTTTTATTGTTGTCATTTCGTCATTTTTCAGATTATTAGACAGTTGAATATTATTATTATTATATTATTATTATTATTATGGATACACTTCACTCAGTTATAGATTTTCATCAATCCTTAATGACATTTTTGCTTAGACTACCTACAGATCATGTAATGTCTATCTATGAATAGATGTATGAACGTACATTCATAGAGGTGAGCACTTGGTACAGTAGGTAGAATAATATTGATATTAATTAGTCTATAATATTCTGATAATTATTTCCATTCATTAAGTTGTGTATTCTACGCCACATCTCTATGTTCATGTTTAATCATAAGAAGACGTCAATTTGTATATAAACATATACATATATACATATGTATATACATAAATCTTCATGTACACCAATTTGTATTCTCAGAAAAATGTTCTTATCGATTTGTATGCTTGTAATTATTTATGAATATGTACGACATAGTTAAGACGACATTTATTCCAATTCACTCAAATAAATTTCTATTCCTATCAGAATATATATATATACAGCATATTGACAAACTGTCACGGACTACCGAAACTTTCAATACCTACAGATATGGCGCCAAATATATGTAATTATACTTTAGAGAATAATAAAATGAGTTGAATCATTTTTTTTATTGGTCTGGTGT